CCACAGGACAGGGAGCCACAGGACAGGACCCACAGGACAGGGAGCCACAGGACAGGACCCACAGGACAGGACCCACAGGATAGGGAGCCACAGGACAGGACCCACAGGACAGGGCAGAGCTGCGGCCTGTGGCCCCCAAGCTGGCAGTCATCATGGCAGCAGGGTGCCCCACCTCCCCCCAAAGCAGGCAGTTAGCTGACCAGCGCTGACCCAGCAGTGCCAAAGGTTGGCACAGGGCAGCTGCCAGACCCAAGCCCCCGCTGTCCAGGGTGGGCTGGACTTCCTTCCGACGGGCCCTATGAATGGCCCCGGTGTTCTGCATTAGACTCTCATCTTCCGTGCAGGAGGCCCGGGTCTGTCTACTTCCAGACAGTAGACCTGGAGCCCAGCCCTGGCGCCCAAGGTGAGTTAGAGGGTCTTCAATGGCTGTTTTTTTCGGAAGTGGATTGCCAAGCCTTTCTTCTGAGGGGCTTCTGGGTGGCCGCTAAACTCCAGCCTCCTGGTTAGCCGACGAGCTTGTTCCCTGTCTGCACCATCCCTGCTCCTGGAGACCTGAGCCCAAGGAGCTCACTACCTCCCGAGGAAAAGCCACCATGCACTATAGCTGCACCGCAGGCGGGCTGCCCCACCCCGTGTCTCTGTGTCTGGGTAACCCTGTCAGGCAGGTGACACTACAGTGACTGTCTGTAAAATTTCTGTGTCACCTTTCTCATTGCAAACCAAAATATCCCCGCAATGAGTGACAACAATAAAGACATTTCTTACAGCTGCAGCAAGGCTACAGTGCCATGCTATTTGCGGTGGTGTATAACTGCAAGATCTACAGTTCCGCACCACCAGCCGCTCTTTGGGAGAAAGGTGGGACTTTCTATTCCTAGAAAGGGTGACAGGCTCGGCAATCCACAGAGGCAGTTCTACCCTGTTCTGTAGAGTGCTCTGAGTCAGCATCGACTCGGTGGCACCGGGGCTGGTTTTGGGAGTGGGTTACACGTTGTGCTCCAACGACCAGGTCAAGAGTTTGAACCCACCAGTAGGACCACAGGAGAAAGATGACGCTCGCTGCTCCTGGGAAGGTTTTTAGCTTGGGAAACCCACAGGGGCAGTCTACTCTGTTGGAAGAGACTTGGTGGCAGTGAGCTTTTTGGTTGTTGATTAGAAATGTGCTCGCATCAGAGCTGTCATTGTTACCCAATGAGGGACGCTTCCAGACCCGCGGCTTTATACTCAGGCTAGGAGTTAGTGCTGCTGTTTTTATAGAAACTGATTTCATCAAACTTTCTGGTTTGTTGTTGTTCGGTCCCTTTGAGTCGGCTCTGACCAATAGCAACCCCCCACACAGCATCATGAAACACCACTGGTCCTGCGCCATCCTCACAAGTGCTCCTGAGCCCATCGATGCGGCCACTGTGTCTGTCCATCCGTCTTGTTGAGGGCCTTCCTCTTCTTCGCTGCCCCTCCACTCTACCAAGCATGGTGTCCTTCTCTAGGGACTGGTATGGCGAGAGGCTACAACCCTGACGCACACCTTTCCTGATTGTAAACCAGGCAGTATGCCCTCGTGCCCCTCTCATCACTGCCTCTTGGTCCAGGTACAAGTTCTGCGTGAGCACAGTGAAGTGCTCTGGGTCCACACAGCTAGTGCCTTTGGTCAATGAGCAAGTGCACATCTTTCTGGCAGTCTCTGTTCTGAACCAAGATGCATCTGACATCAGCAATGATATCCCTTAATCCACATCCTCTTCTGAATCCCGCCTAACCCTCTGCAGCTCCCTGACCATGTGCTGCTGCAACTGTTGCTGGATGGTCTTCAGCAACATTTTACTTGTGTGCTACGTCAGTGATATTGTTCGACAGTTTGAGCATCCTGTTGGGTCACCTTTCTTTGGAATGGGTACAAATATGGATCTCTTCCAGTCAGTTGGCCAGGTAGCTGTCTGCCAAACTTCCTGGCAGAGACAACTGCGTGCTTCCAGTACAGCGTTTCAGTGGGTACTCCTTCAATTCCCAGAGCCTTGTTTTTGGCTGATGCATTCAGTCCAGCTTGAACTTCTTCCTTCAGCACCATTGGTTCTTGCTCATGCGCTACCTCCCAAAATGGCGGGCTTTTACTAGTTCTTTTTTGTACAGTTACTCTGTGTATTCTTTCCATTTCTATCACCAAATCCGTATTTTCCAACTACTGTTCCTTCTTCTTTGTTTCTAACTTTTGCATTCCAATCGCCACTAAGTATCAATGCACCTTGATTGCATAGTTGATCAATTTCTGACTGAAGTCGTTGGTAGGATTCTTCAATTTCTTCATCACTCGCTTTTGTAGTTGGTGGTAAGTGGTATTTGTGAATCGCAATGCTGTTTGAGCATGAAGTAATAATTAAAGGGAAAGGAGATAAAAAATCTAAAAAGCTTCCACTCAGCGAATATGGCAATTTACTGTGGAAAGGTTTTACAGTGCAATTTGGTTTTGTCTTCATATAATTTAAGGAACATTACATTCGAGCGATTTACAGCTCAATTTCTCCCTCCCGTATGCTCTGGTACAGGAGGGGGGGCATGGGGGCGATGACACCTTCAGTGTCTTCCTGTGATACTGTGTGATGGCCTTGCCATCGTTAAACATCTCATAAAAAGACATGAAACCTTACCACATGCGGTGGCTATACGTGATGTGCTGCAAATGGCTCCTGCCCTTTGACCTGCCCCTCCTTGATCCCCAGTTTTACTCTTTGATTTTTCTCTGCAATCTCAGGAAAGAGCAAGTCTGTAGCCCAGAACAAAGTAAGATGTACACATGCCCCCAGCTGTAGGTGAGGGGGAGGAGGAGGGATCCCACCCCCTCTCGTGGGTGCTCTGAACTCCGAAAGACGTTCAACAGGCAAACCCAGGCACATTGGTGGCCATCGAGTGGGTTCTCTCTCCCGGCCACTGCGGCTCTGCTCGGGGGGCGTCTGAACTCACAGATGGCCAAGTCCTGAGGCAGATGTGTGACAGGGCTGCAGGGCCAGCCACTTCCCCCACCTGGTTTCTCCTCAGCGACTGAAAGCCATTCCACTTCCGGTGTCTTCATCTTTGTCCGGGAGCTCAAGTCTTGTCCAAGCCACCCCTGCCCCCAGTCGGAAGCGGGGCTTCCACCGAAGCTCCCCTAACTCAGCCCACAGTGAGCGGCTGGTGCCGAGAAACCCTGGAGACGCCGCTGCTGCATCACCCACCCTCCAGCGGGCACTTTCCTGACTCACCTGCGGCTGACTTGTTGGCTGCCTCACCTTTGCCACCAGGTAACGTTCCTTGGCTCCGAGCTTCCCGTTTCAACTCCCGGGCGCCCCTTCTTCTCTGGCCTCACAGTGTGGTGGGAACTGTAGTTCTTCCCCAGGTGGCAGCCGGGCTGCTGGAGGAAGTGGAAGGAAAGTGCCAGCCCTCCCATCTGCCAGCACCCCCACCCCCAGCCCCGCCCGCTCCCCGCTGAGCCCAGAGCTGCCTGGGACACTAAATGCCAGATGAGCTGCTGGCCCCAGGCTCTGAGCCACAAGTGTCCCCTGGGCCCAGGATTGCACACAAACACCCCCTCGGGAAGGCATCCAGCAGTTACCTGAGCCACACCTGGCTCTTCTCCCCTCTCCTGCTGGGCTGGCCTTGGGGGTGGCCTGGAGGGAGTAACCATTTGCAGGAGGATCTTGAGGTCTCGGTCCTGAGGCGCTGAATTGTTTGGTGGGTTTGAACAACTCATTTGAGGGAGCCACTGAGAAAAGGGGTGATCCTGAGGAGAGGTGGAGTGTAGGCAAGGATTCCAGGGGAGGCAGTTCTCAGCCCAGGGACGCTGAGTTGAGTGTAGAGGCGAGAGCCCACCCACAGCATTTTCTCTAGCAGAGTCCAACGCTGGGGGCTCCTCGGCCCCTGTCACACACGCCGGGTTTTCTCCACCATGTGGCCATCACATGCAGGTGGCCAAGCAGCTCTCTGGAAAAACAAACCAGCCAGAACCGTCCAGGCTGATAAAATATTTAAATGGCACTGTGTGTTCCAGCTGCCCGGCACGCCCGAGTTTAGACAGAATGGAGCTCACGCAGAAAAGCTATTGAATGGTTTGGGTGAGCAGGACAGACGCCTGTCCGTCTGGATTGGGCGGTGATGCAGACTCTCTTCCCAATGGGGGGGGGATGGAGGGGTCCAAGAAGTGGAGCAGCCCTACAGAGAGGGCGCACGGGCTCCTGGACCCAGATCACCCTCTGTCATTGCTTCACAAGGTCCCCACGTGGGCACTGTACCTGGAGGTCCATGTCCACAGCAGTTTTCAGGCACCGGGGTTGTGGTAGTTACATCAGCTGGGGTCAATTTGAGACTATTACGGGTGAAG